CGAGTTATGACCAAAAGAAAAAGAGGATAGGGATGTACAGAAAATTTTTGCCACCACCCAATATTCATACATTTCCTAACACGGAGAATACAAATATATCTACAAACTTTATGTCAATTGCTGCCTGACGAGAAAAGTATATCGTCAAAAACTGACGTTTTCGGCCAAGGACCAGTCCACATAAGACTTGGAACAGCACACTTTTTATCTTTCCAATGTGTCCAAAACTGATAAAATTCATCGTATTCGATGATTTCAACCTTTCAGGGCGCTTCCAGTTGAACATAACCTACGAAATCTACTCGAAAACAAACATAGTACCATCACTATGATTGTGGAATCGAAATTATTCCGTAACTATCCAGTATCTGACCAGTAGTTTTTTCCGTGGATCCCACCTAATTTAACACTACACTTAATAGGTATCGAATTTCCTTGGAGCCCCACAACTGGTAGTCGGTGATTCCGAATAGCCTTGCAATGGCAAGGAACATAGCTGATCGACAACGCCGAACATTTCCGCAATATTTGTTTTTGAGAACAAATCTCAAACCTGGCGAACACAGAGCTTTAGAAAAACTAGGGCTTTCACACTGTTTTCGCTGAATACTAAAAAGCTCACTATTCACTCAAAAAACGACAGAATCAGTTAACAACTTGAGGGTACACAGTAATTAGTGGTTTTCATAAAGTTCGGTTTTTGAGATTTGTGTTCGTAAACAAATATTGCGGAAATGTTCGGCGTTGTCGATCAGCTATGTTCCTTGCCATTTCAAGGCTGTTCGGAATCACCGACTACGAGTTGTGCGGCTCCAAGGAAAGTCGATATCTGTTAATTGTAGTGTCAGAACTGCGACCTGTGAAAAAATCTAGTTTTTAACTGACAAAAGCCGCTGCTGCGCTCCGTTAAAAGTTTTATTAATGAGATAAGATGATTTTGATGAGTGTTGGACATATTAGAGCGATAAAATGTGGTAAGCCGATTTCAAGTCTTATGTGGACAAGTCATTTCGCGCCGAGACGTTAATGGTATGGGAATTCGAAAAGTATGATGTAATCTCTGGCCTCCGAAGAAAAATAGTTTGGGTTAGTGAGCTAGCTAGTTGGTCGTTCAGTCTAACGAACAGCATCAGGGTTTTTTATTTCTTTTCCCTATAGACCGTAAACAGACGACCTAAACTAAACCTTTTAAGCATAAGATTAGAAACAACTAGAAGAAATAGTAGAAAAGAACGAGATAGCTGAGAAAGACGATCGATTGATAGTGGTAATATTAATGAACATGGTATTCAATAAAAAAAATAGTGAAGCATCTTTGTTTTACACACAAACTACAATTAATAAATGTTGCTTCACTGCATTTTATAACTTAGCAAGGAATAGTGCCGGATGGTTGGAATTCTCAGTGATTATACTAGACATCTAGCAGTACCACAGAAAACATTCTGAGCCTCTCAGCCTTTTTATCGTGTTTTGTCTGAGTTATACAACTTCTAATAATTTTTGTTATGCACTGTATGGGCAAAATAAAAATTTCATAACTTTTGAAAGAAGCAATAAGAATCCAAATCGTTCTACGCTTTTTACTGCGACACTATAAAGTATCTATAGGTAAAAGATCATTGAAGTCGGAGTTGGACATCTGAGCAGGTGCCTTCGTTAACGGGTGCGGCATAAAGAATGATCCTCGCAGTGTTTTTCTCAATTTCTCCTTCAGTTCTCATTCTATAGGATCGAACTTTTTTCAAAAGATGCACCGTTCAATTCTCTACAAAAGTATGTATTTTTATTAATGTAAATAAGTTCTGTTTTATAGTACAACTTTTTCTCTAATTGATTTTTGCAGCACATTTAAGGTCTTGGATTAGTGTTACTTTTGACTGAACTTTGTGCCAATTCATTGCTTGAACAAATTTATCCCGAATATAATAGACCAGTGGGATGAGATCGAGACTATTCGGAAGCCAATGAGCCTTGTAAAGAAAATTATCCTTACACCATTGTTGAGTAAAATGATGTTTGTGGAGGCCCACACCGGCTTGCTGAAGTGTCCAATCATTTCCAAATACTTTATTTCCGTATCTTAATGCTAAGCATTTCCTTCATATAACGATCATGATTAACCATTCCTTTATCCAAGATGACCAACGGTGTGATGCTTTTCGAACATACTCCCAGCCCAACCATCACTTTTTCAGGAAATTGGTGTGTTATTTTATCGCACCATTCTTATCAGCTGCAGCTCGGTTGACTGCCCATACTTGACCATTTTGAGCATTGTACATGTCGTCTAAATCGAACATTTTTTCATCCAAGAAAAGAATTCGCATTGTTTGTTCTTTTCGAAGATTGTTTAGTATCCAATTTGTAAATTTGATTCGTTCGACTTTTTGTTGATCGGTGAGCAACGGCTCGATACGATTTTTATACGGTCGACATCCAGCAGCCGGTCTCGATGATCATTTTGCACCATCTCTTAACTGCTTCAAGACTAATGGCACCGTTTAAATCACGACATATCTTCGTTGGAACATCACCGTTTTGATGTTTAGAAAGTGCTAGATTTCGAAGATCTTTACTTTTCATTATCAAGAACTAAAGTGAAATTATAAATAACAGAAGTAAATAGTTTTGTAGAGAATTCGACGGTGAATCTTTTTTTAAAAAGAGATTAGTATCACACGCTCAAAACTGAAAGAGATATCGCGAAAATACTAAGAGGGTTATTCTTTATACCCCACTCGTTAGTATTGATAGTCGTTGTTTGTCTTTTGAAGAAAAAGCATTTATTAGATGAATGATAGTTCCTGAACCTTTTTGTTCACTAAATAACCTAATCAGAAAATATTAGAAACCATGAAATAACATCAAAACATAACAATAGTGTGTAAGTCTAGGAAATTATCAATCTTTTGTTTCTAGACCACTACAGTAACTGAATAACCAATCGGTAAACCGTCGGTTATTTTCTGTTATTTATAATCGACACATGTCTATATGTAACTCGAGAAATCGCAGGACATAACACAGATGATCAGAAGAAGAAACATATGGCCTATCCCATCCATTATGGGGCAAATACCAGATATTAAGTTCGTTCATTAAGTCAAGAGGTAGATTTGTGTGTGCTTTTTTCTGGTTTTAGTGGTTTCAGTTTTTGATAGTCAGTTGAAAAAGGAAGAATATCAGAATCAGTCTGTTTCTACGAAAATATGTTCGTTGAATCGTAGTTCACGTTCTTATTGCTTTATTAGTTAGTTTGCTTTTTCAAAATCTTTGCTATATGAATACATAATAAGCTAACAGACCACTACGAAAGAGAGAACATCAACAGCTCATCGTTCAAAAATAACTGAAGTTTTCAGAATCTTAAATCTGCAATCTAAAAAATCAACAGAAAACTCAGTCTTTTGTAAACTAATCTAGTCATGAATGAAATAATTACTAATTTTTTTTTGAATTATGCGAGGGTTTATTGACCACGCTCTGGAGTACTTGCAAAAATAAGAGAATATACGAAGAACAATTACAAAAAAAGGGTAAGACTAAGCAACATATAACGACGAAATTATATTGCTGATTAAGGGTTGAGTATACAGAACACAGGAAAAAGAAGAACAACAGAAAAATAAAATAACACCAGTAAATAATAAAAAATTGTTCCTCACTGCTGTTTTAACAAACAAATTCTAACCATTTAGCGAGAGACGATTTGCGCTTACGTATCATTTTTTTAACCCTTTTCATACAGCAAAGGTGACCACACTTTGAGGCTCCCTCATGAAAGTTTTCCCAAAAAAATAAATCGTTAAAAAAGAAGGATGAACCCAAATCTGTTTCATAAAACTCTGCCAACCGTTTAGAAATCTACTTTTTACATAGTGAACCAGGGTAGGTTCTTTTATGACCGTAAAGATATCCTCAGCCTTTATAACCATGACATCTATAGATAATACGAAGACGCACTCGGTATTTTCTAACGAATAATTCTTGTTGCGTTGGTGAAAGTAGCGGAAAGAAGGGAAATATCTAACCAAAGAATGGGAACGAGTAAGCGAAAAAACACGATCGCAGCACACTAGATGGTATTTGTCTATTTCTATTCAACCATTTCAGTTTAATATACGCTTTATCTATATTTTCTAAACACTTTTCAACAGTGTGTTTCAAGGAGAGGTTACTTGTCCATATAAAACCTAGATATTTAAATTCGGAGATCATTTTCAGTTTATCACCGTTAATATAAACATCAATACAAGGTTTGATATTTCATCAAAACCTGCTGATTTCTTGGGTGATGAAACAATCTGATTAATAGTGTTCTTGAAATGAATGTGGGAATTTATATATACGAGTACGTCTGCTTTTCAATTCAACTTTTCAAATTCAACACCTCGAGAAAGCTTAAGAATATTAATACTAATCAACATGATGGTCAGATGTGGATTACTATTCTACTGAAAACAAAACTGTGAGGCTAAGACTAATTAACCTGAGACCATCAATACTGCGGTCACTATGCTTCCACGTTCACTACTAAAATCACTATGCTAATGAGTTACAGATTCATATAGATAGTATTCATGGGCCCAGATTAACTTGAGTATACTGCATAACCGTAAAGAGTATTAACTTTTGTATGCTGCGTGTCCAATGCTTTGTCATATACCAAAGAGATGAAACAATTCAAGATATCTGAAATTCTGAACATCAAATTACTAACGTGCTCCAATGCCGTTAGTAACAAAGGTGAGTTAGTTCCTTCGTACGAAATCAGTTACATTTTAAATTATTTCGTTTTTCTATTATTAGATCACCTAAATGCATTAAATACACACTCGTCTTATGTGTTTTTTAACGATATTTTGTTGTATACCCACGGTTTAACATTAGAAACTGAGATGAAAGTAGCAAATGAGAATACCATCGGCAACATCTGTCATGATTGCTTCAGCAGTCTGAAAAAACCAAAATTTCCAAAATTTTCTGCTGGAAACAAAATGTGGTGCGGTGACGTGCCTGATGAATTGAAAGAATTATCAATCGCCGAATTAAAATTAATATCAGTTTACCGTCATAGTAGATGTGTTGCTAAGTTAGTCACAAAAAACTCACGAGATCCATCTACTCAACAGTCGAAAACACAAGGGAACGTGATAACCTTTCCACAAGATGTACCAGAAATAGTTAGAAAGCTTCCACTATCGCTAAATGATTTGTGTGATAGCATCAAAATAATCTTCGTGGGCGAAAATCCACCAGAGAAAAAGGAATTCGCGGTGTTTAGGGTACGTAAACAGAAGGTACTCAGTGCGTTAAAATGGCTCAAAAAATACAATCCATTTTACGAAGATATTAATATTGATATGTATAATGTCGGTTGTTTGTTGTGAATTGTTTTCCGTTTTTTTCTTTACATGAAGTCCAAAACAGATTTACTGAGGACAGTAAAACGATGCTTTAATACAGGCGAATGAATAAGACCTAATTAGTTCTATCCCTACAATTTTCTTTATGGTTATGTGAAATTAACAATAAAAATGTATTGATGTAGTATGCAAAATTGGGTATCTCATCAATCAGAGATTGACTGAAACCACCTAAAACTTGTGTCCATTACGGTGTCTTCTCGTTTCGCCGACTTTTCGAAAAAAGTCGGCGAAACGAAACTATGACTTCAGAGAATATCTGAGGCGGAAGGGCGGTGTGAGAGTGAGTCGGCGAAACGAGAACTAGCCGTCCATTACAGTAATTACCCACTTTACATCTTCTCGTGTGCCCAAAAAATGCCAGCGATTTCCTTCCAATTGAAAAACATCCATTTATGATATAAAAGTGAATATCAATATTTTGAGCAAAAGTTGCTCTGGATCCTCAAAAAGAAAGCTTTATTTTGTTACTGAAAGAGTTCTCGTGAAGTTCTACATCAGGTAAGTCATGGGTGGAGAGAAACTTCAGATGGCCAGAAATGATTGTTCCCTGAAAAAAAGTCGAGCCCATTACAGGGTGAGACTTTTCGGAATTTCATGCACTGCTCGGCCGATCTGTTCTGAGTTAGGAGTTACATCAAGTGTTATCAACAATATTTCTACTTGATGTTCATTAGTCCAGAGAGCACTCAGCATTCTTTATTCTATTTCTGACCTCATTTTAAACAAGAATAATCTTTGATGGAGAAAATCAGTGAAAGTGATAGTCCAGGAAAGCATGGGTAAAACACAGTGGTTTGTGGCACCAGCTGCAACAAATGAAAGGTGCTGCATCACCAGAAGACCCGGTGCATATTGCAGCGTCAAACGAGAAACACACGTCGGTCGCAGTTCTGAAGTATCATCTCTTCTCCACCATGTTTTTCAATATTAGAAAATCTTTGACTTTTTCATGGAGCGTCTTTGTGGTTCCCACAGGGAACTAATTTAGACTAATCGGATTGCTAGCAGCTATAACACTTAACGATTCCAGAATCTTTCTTTCAGAAAAGAGAACAATAAAGAACCAAATTGAAGAAAAAAGATACATATAAAGCACGCAAACTAAAAAGACTATGAAAACTTCGATGAACTATATATTGTTCGTCAGACAAACTATTATTTTCTACAAAATCTACTCAAACACATGTTTATTGTCTTTTATAAAAGCTTCAACACTCTTCAAATTTCAACTCATGCTCTTTCTTCAACATCAAATAATTCACATCCTAAATATCCTGAACAACCTAAGAATCCGAAACGTCCTTAACTTCCTAAATATCCTAAATATGCTAAATATGTTAAATATCGTAAATACGCTAAACATCCTAAATATCCTAAATACCCTAAATATGCGATATATCCTAAACATCCGAAATATCCTAAATATTCTAAATATCCTGAAATGTTAGGTCTAGCGACCTAAGTATTCGTTCTCTAGTCTTCTTCTATGGGTATTTTCTCTTCCTGTCATATATGTATCTGTTCTCTTTCTTTCTGTCAGGAAATTTCCCAGTAATATCTCTTGGTTTCGTTCTGTACAGTTTCTTCCTTCAAGAGATATTCCAATGTATTCTTTTAGCTCTGGGTATACCCCATCGTTTCTGTATAAGCTTAGATATAAATAGCTCCTAGTTTTATGTCATTTGATGTCGTATCTTGTTCAGCAATAAACTACTTATACACAGAAAAAAAAAAAAAAAGCACTGGTGGTTCAGTGGTAGAATGCTCGCCTGCCACGCGGGCGATCCGGGTTCGATTCCCGGCTAGTGCACCAATGTTAGGTTCCCGGGTGAACTAAGATCTTTCTCACCTAACGTTTATTTACAAATAAGAAAGATCTCTCCCTTTTTACACAAAAACGCACATATATATACTAAGCCGTTGCACAATCTTAAGAAACGAAGACTGATGCCCTGATTATGCAATACTTTTTAGAACTGTTCTATCTCGTTGACTAAGGCTAATGCAATAACCTTGAATATATTCTTGCACCATAGTCTTGCGCAATAACCTTGACTAGGATCTTCTTCCTTATGGCACGACTCTAGTGCGTGGCGTAACAAGCCTCAACATCATAATCGTATATGTCGAACTGAGGGTACATAGGATACTTAGGCTATATAGGATATTTAGGATATCTAGGACATTTAGGATATTTAGGATATTTAGGAAATTTAGGATATTTAGGATATTTAGGATATTTAGGATATTTAGGAAATTTAAAATGCATACGTTGCTTAATTTGAAAGTTTGCAGCTTGTTTTCCTGAATATGCTAACTATCCCGAATATCCTAAATATCCTAACTACCCTAAATATGCTATATATCCCAAATATCCTGAATATCCCAAACATCGTAAATAGCCTAAATGTCCTAATCAGCTAGGTATATTAAATATCCGAAACATCCTAAATATCCTTCAAAAATATACCAAATATTCTAACATCTTAAATATCCTAAATGTCGTAAGTATCCTAAACACCCCAAAAGTCCGCAATATCCTAAACAGCTTAAAGATCCTAAATATCTTAGATATTCCAAACATCCTAAATATCCTATATATCGTTAATATCCTAAGCATCCTAAATATCCTGTATATCGTGAATATCATAAATATGCTAAATGTGCTAAATATCCTAAACATCCTAAATCTGCTAAATATCCTATACATCCTAAATATCCTAAATAACCTGTATATGCTAAGTATGTTAAACATCATAAATATCCTAAATATCTTAAGGAGCGTTCCAAGGATCTGTAATATCCCAAACATCCTAAAGATTCTAAATATCCTAAATATCCTAAATATCGTAAACGGCTTAGTCTGTGAATCAGTTCGACATATGTGTTTTGGAGGTTTAGCATATTTAGGATATTGAGAATATTTATGATGTTGAAGATACTTAGGGTATTCAGGATATTTAGGATATTTCGGGTAAGAAGCTGGAAACTTGTAAGTTGGGCAACGGATCATGGGTGGAAATAAATTGGCCAAGATTGAATTTGCGGCAAGTGCGGTTTCTCCATGATGTCACGTTGTAAATGTACCGTTCGTAAGCTGATCTGTGCAACCGAGTACTCTCTAAAAAGAAATGTATTTTAAGAAACCAAAAGGGTATTGCGTCCTGTCCACGAAACTAACTTTGATTTTGTATGAGATACAAAAAATCAAAAGTGACATCCCGATTGCTGCTAAACGTTACTCTAAGGAACCAAAGAGTTTTTCATTTGAAAAAGGGTATTTCATCTTTGAAAATGATTAGAGCGTATTTCATTTCTATTACGATACCAAAAAGGGGGTAGTAGGTTACGGGTGATTGGTATCCAAAAGCACCAAACTGGCTTTTGTTATCAAAATAAAATGCCTTTTTCATGAAATACCGAAATTGGTTTTGCGGGATGCCAAAAGGGTATTTTCATTCTTAAAATACCGCTTGGGATCTGTAAGATACAGATAAATTTTTCAAAATATCCAGAACGATATTTTAAATACTGAAAATGGTATTACAAGATACCAAACCAGTTTTTCTGCTTTTTAAAAACCTTTTTGACGTTTAGGATACTGATTCTTTGTTATGATCTTTAACCTAGACTTTTTACACTTATTTTTTACTCCTATTTGCATCACCAAATGTCTTTCTAGCCATGAATTAACCAAACAGATGTATTTACGTTTATACGAATCTATTTACTGTGATTTTTAGTATAAATGTACTCTTCATTATCATTTCGTTTTCTAGCTGTAATGTTTATTTAATAAAATATTGTTTTTTTAATTATTTTTATAAAATATCTGCAGTGCAATTAACTATTCTTTACTAATAATGTTGTTTCAAACGTTTTATTTTGTTATATGAAGCCTTTTTAGAGTCACAGAACAGGTACAGAATTGTTGTTGGGTCTATAGATAAAAACAAAAGATTTTTTCCGTTTTAACTCATTTGCTTGTAATTTAAACTAAATTGTTTATATATCTTTCCACCTCAGTCTTAAGTTGACCTATTCAGTAGTTTTGGGCTCGAACCGCAGAGCTTTTCGTTCTTTCAGGCTGGCATCGGTTCGAGTCTAGTTTTAACGTTAACTAGCGCTGTCTGGGACTTTTAATGTTGAAATCTTTTTATTTTTTTGTTCTATTGCGAATGTGTGAATGATATTCCCAATTTTCGGCTGAAAAAAAACTGATTGAGCATAGTAGACCGACATTGATCGCCAATTGTCAGTTTCTGTCGATGTCGATCGTAAGTCTCGACATACCGCGATGAAACGTGTATCGTTGACAAATTTTTTAGTCCGAAAGTGGGAGATTCGTCTGAACTAAGCAACAAACGGTTTTCCTTCTTTTCGTGCCCGGACTTTGTTAATTTACTTTGCTGTTGGAAAGAGAGTCAAAATCTGCAGCAGACTTTTTTCCCGCATCCTATACCGTTTTTCTGTTTTGCTGTTTAGCCACACTTGTACATAAATTTGTGCTTTTATTTTCAAATTAAGATGGGCCAGTTGCTGTCTTGTTGAAAACCTTTTCATGATGCATGATTTGAATTTCATATGTGGGATACGGTAGCAAATAGTGCTGACTGCCAGGCATGCAATACTATCAGTGCTGTATCGAAGTGCTGATATTAATCGGTATTGGTTATTCACGAATTAGTTGCACGAATTTTTTACTCATATATTTTGATCCAGTATGGGATCTAATGATCCCATTTTGTCAAAGAAAACAATATAAAAGGAAGAATAGGATTTCGGTCAACGTCGTTGTCATTGTCATTGTACAATGTTACTAAGAAGAACCTCCACTGTACAATTTTATTTGCTTTTTCTAATTTTGTGTTGAACACATTTCAAAAAACTAGGTTGATTGTAAATTGTTTTTACAGTTTTCATGAAGCCCGAGAAAACTGCATCTAAGTATTATATTATTC